TACATATGGATAATCAATTACAGTAATATCCCATGAAATGACAGTGAAGCTAAATGGATTGAAAACACCACCCTTCATGGGTTTCCTCTGCTTTCCTTTTGAATGTCAACCATGAAAGACAACTCAGCAGTAAGCAATCTGTGAGTCAGACACGTGTGGCACTCACTTTCAACTTCCTGTGTATAAACCAGTCCCGAGGTGATTCTATCTACACTGCTGTTGGATGACATCCCATAAATGACAGACCGTAGCGCCTAACAGGAACTTCCCACCTCAAGGATTTAGCTAACAAACCCCAGAAACATAACCATATTATTCCGTATCCTTTTTATTAATTTATTTCCTAGCAATTAACAACATATTGATTAATTAATATACATACATTAGCAATCTAATAAAATATTAGATACAAAATAATAATTCTTTTTCTTTAAAAAAGAGTACACTGTTGTACATTAAACGTAACAACACTTGTTCTGAATTTGCAATTGAAGGAGCTACTCCAGTCTGTGATTTATTATCCCATGGCCCACATAGCTCACTCTGTGTCATGGCAGGGGATGATTTATTTTAGAGGAAACTGAAAAAATACATAGTATGATATGGATGTACTTTGCAAATACTTGCCAAACTAAACAAAAGTAACAATAGAAGGGGAAAATACTGGTAACATTTTAAATCCTGACATGCTGTTTCCATGAAGGTTTATTCCTAAGAATGCAATTTTATTAAATATAGATATTTATGCTTATGTAAATTAAATTATAAATTAATAAATGTATCATTTTAAATGCTACAACTTCTTCCTTTGTTAGTCTGCAGACTCTTCTGTGGAATTTGGATGCAAGCAAGGAACTGTGAGGTCATTTTAAACATCTTCTTTAGCTATCAGAAAGAAGCAAAATTAAAGGAAAGAATGTGTACATGCACATGGGTTTGATTCTCCTCTGACAGTGGATCAGAAAAAATTACAGTGTAAAGCCTATGTAAACAAGAGCCAAACTACTTTCAGAAACGTTAAGACTGTGAGAAGCCAAATGCAGATATCACTAGTGTATATGTATATGGTTAATAATGACTACTTATTACTATTTGTGTGCATTAAAGTAGTGCCTTAAGGCACTGTACAACATACAGAAACAGATGATTTTTTGCCCCAGCAACATCCAACCTAAACAAAAGATACTTGGAGCAACAGAAAGCCACCTTGTTGTCTTCTGTCACTTGGTGCAGAGCAACGTAAAAAAATAGAGGAAATAATCTGCCAAAATTGCACTGGAGATCTGGGGAAGAGACATTTGCCCCTACTTACTGGGCACTGTGTTTAGCTACAGACCATCACTTATCCGTGACGTTTGGACTTGGGCTGCACACAGAGCCATGCCCTCAGCCGTGCCCTGTGCGCAGTCAGACAACAGCAGTTCTTGTACTGCTTGGTCAGAGAAGAACTAATTCCATCAACTGAATTCTTGTAGCATGAACTGGTGGAAAGACCATATATATTATAGAAGAACACGATGACCGTGTGCAGATATGATGTCAGTATGGGTAAGACTACCTGGTCTCTTCTATAAAGCTTTTTTTTTCTTTTCAGATGAGAAGAGATTCAATATTATCCCGTCTTTTAAGACTGGAATCTCCTTTCAGACAAAATAATTTATTCCAATTGTCAAAGCTCATCAGACTCTCAGCATGAGGCTTGCATAAATGGGTTTATTCCTAGCTGTTTCATTTGCACACTCCATGAAATTTTTTTTCCTATTTAATTTCATCAAGACTTTCTTCACAGACACCAGCAAACTTTCTGCAAGAGCACTGTAATGTAAAACACAGTATCTCTTCCTTATGTTCCTGTGGAAAAAAAAATAAAGCACAATATGCTGTAGTATGCTTAGAAAAATTCCCATTTTAAACTGCTTTTCCTGAAATAGGAAGACTATGGAAGAATATGACAAATAAAGCAATAAAGCTGTGCTTATGGGTAACAGATAATAAAGTGCTGAGAGCTTGGACATGCCCTTGCTGTTTAAAACCTCCCATGGTAAAATTCACAACATTCAATATTCTACAGTAGTGGTGTAAAACACTCCCATGAAATTCTAGTGTTTGGGAATATTACTATGGCATCATTGTTGTTATTTTTCTAAAGAAAGTGCCTCTCTGTTGCAAGAAAACTCATCAAGTGGTGAATGTGGTGAACACATTATTGCAAAGGCACAGGATTTGGGAAGCCTAGCTGTGTTCTGCTCTGGCTGGTTTGCATTGAATACAGCTGTACAGGGCAGGTGTTACGAGGAGAGAGGCTCTTGTACTTGTCCAGGCTTCTGTAGGGCAGCCATCATGACTTCAGCAGATCCTCTAAAACCTTCTTGGCTTTAAGACTGCAGCAAGACAAGAGCCTTAAGTCCAGAGAAAACATGCAAGGTCAATGCGATTTTCTCCAGACATTATGCACATTTGTTTATTCTTTTAAGAAATTTATTTATTTAAGAAGTTTTCACCTCAGGGAAACAACCAACTAGAAAATATGAAGAATTACTAATAAAGACTAAAGTTTAATTCCACAAAGTAGATGATAGCTCATGGTGGATTCTGTATAACATTTGTATTTGCTCAAGAAAAGATTGCTTCTGTAATAGACTGGTCCTGAAGCACATCCAGAAGGATAATGGAAGGAAGGCTGCCTCAGAAGCTGACACAATCAGACAGATATTTTAAAAAACCTACAAAGATTTTACACCCTCCAGTAGGCTGAGACAAAACAGGATTTGTCAGAAGCAGGAGCAGGTAGTAAGACAGGCTTTGTCAAAAGCAGAAGCTGATGCTGGAGTGGTACTGGTCAAAAACATTAGTCTTTACAGTCAGCTCCTGTCAGTATTAGGCCTTTGAAATAGCCAGTATTTCAATTAATGATTTCCAGTGAGCTGGCCTTTGGGAGTCAAAGAAACAAATAAATTAATCTGGAAGAACGAATCTGCCTGAGACACTGATAAATCTGTTATGACAATGTAAGGCTTATTAAACACTGAGAAACATTATTTCCCTAGCCTCTGGGTCAAATGCAAGTTTTAAGGTTAACAGAGGAAATCAACATTTTAAAAAATGTCACATGGACTACTTTTTTTTTTTTTTTTGTATTCTGCTTTTGACAGGAAATTCATGATTCAATACACTTAACTCAAAAATATAATGCATCTAATGAGATGTTATCCAAATATCACAATACTCTGAGTTATAGGGACATAACTGAAACGGCATAGCACAGATAATGCTAAAATTTGAGAAACAAGGGGATCCCAGGTCTTCTCATATATTACTGTCCCTCTGTTCTTGAACATCAGCAGTGGCTTGCCTTCGTGAACTCTGTTAAGTCAGTCACACGATCTTTGCTCTGACTGTAGGGAGATGAACAGTAGAATGGCTGAAGTTTTTGCCAAGGAAATTACTCAAGCTTGATAAAAGGAGTGCTTCACGGAACAGAAAAGCTACACAGTGCTGTTGATTGTCATGATGTATGCTACAGTGAAAGAAGGTGGAAGCACAGGGGCTGCCTACACACAGCTTTTCCTCTCAGCAGCAGCCTCAGTTTCAGCAGAGGTTTTTCTTGCAATTTATGGTGCTAGAGAAGGTTTCCTCTGAGTTGAAAGGTTTTTGCAGGGGGCAATGGTACAACTTGACCTACTATACTCAGGAGGGTTTCTTGGCCCCAAAAACCTTGAGTTTGCTTCCTCAAGTGAAAAATGACTCCCACTGTGATTATTATTAGAAAGAAACAGACCTACACAGATATATATGAAAAACTCCACACTATCCACTGCCACAGCCTCAAAAACTCATTAGGTGGAAAACAGTTATGCAATACCTTATCCTTTGAACTCCATAGTCCCCATACTTCTTTGTTTCAAAGTACCATATGTGGCCTAAGCAACTGCCTGGTGGGATAGAAATCCTCAGCAACCCACGTTGTCTTATTGGTTGGTCTCCGTCACTGTAAATCATACCTTCATGCAGTCAGAGGAAAGACCATTAATTTTCTTGTACTAAAAGACATGTGCTTAATGCACCTGCTGTCTCTGTGTGACAGCTAATGGTGCCAGGCAGACTCTGTATATTTATCTCAATACTCCAAAGATGAGTTGACCAACAAACTTGAAGGCCCTTCAAACACATCCCCTCTTAGCTGGGAGTCAGTGTTTGCTGACTCCAGAATCTGACATGTTGAGAAACCCCATGCCAAAGAGTAATCAGGAGTGCCCCTCAAGATCAGGGTTGATATCCACAGGCATCTGGAAGCCAAAAAGTACTTACACAGTCTTAGCCTTATTAGTCTCACTAGTTTCTTTAGTCTCATTATTCATTCAAAAGATTCTGACCTAATATCCTCTATTAGAGTTAAGGACCTTAAATGGAATAGCTCGTAAAAGGTATAGTTTTATGACCTAGACTCAGGAGGCGACCTCCTTCATGCTCAGGGGGGTGAATCCAACTCACTCATTCACGTGTGCCTTGGTTCAGGAAAATAAACTGGCATTTTTCTGTCACTGCCAGTGAACGCTCTTGTCAGTACACAAAATTAAACATGTCAGAAATCCCGTACGTCATCAAGACCCACAGAGAGAATATTTTACAGTGGTATCTTTTCACATCACCCGTGGGAAGAATCAACTCTGTCCTAGCACACGGTGCGTCATCTGGCACACACCTACATTTCACAGGCATGGGCTGATAAACACCCACACCAGCTAACTTTAAACCAACCGTTTGAGCGTTAACAGCCAAGGCAGCACAAAGCTTAGTGGGGGTTAACACCAAGCATATTTTTTCCTGTCCTAGCCAGCAGGTACGCTTCCCAGCCAGAGCTCACTGTCACCATGGTGATGTTCCCAGCCCTCCCCAAAACATCTAGTTTAAGGCTAATTTGGATAGGCCTGCGTTAGCTGTGGGCATTTCAGTGACTGCAGCACAGACATACTCATAGCAATGAAGGGCTTTACAAAAGATTTCAAAATAGCCAGGTAATCTTTATTTTAAATGTCTGCCAACACCATTCCTACTGGTGGAAGGAGGACAGGTGCAAGGCAGAGTAGAGGGGTAGGCACCTTTCTCAAATAAGTCAGAATACAAAGGAGTGCTGCAAGCAGCCCAGATTGCTTGCAGCTGATTTGATACAATGGTGCAGACAAAAATCACAATGATGAGAAATTTATGTCCTTAAAACTGCACATTTTTTTTCTGTATATTCCACTGTTTTCTTAAGCGTAGAGCTTCACAGGAAAAGACTTAGTTTCTATATCTTTTGGGTACCAAAGACGAGCTTAATTTTCCTTTTTTTTATAATTAATTCTTTATAGTTATATAAATAGAAGGTAACTCATTTATACACAAAACAATTAAATTGTTAGACACAAATTAAATTGTAGATACAAACAAAACTCTTATTCAATCTCTTTGTATCTGAATTTCTTTCCACATTATCTTCTGTAATCCCAGAATTAGTATACCAGAGCATCAAGTAACAGTGTCCTATCATTCCCTTATCTCCTACACACCTCATTTGTACTCATTGCAGCACTACGATATCTCAACAGCCAGAAAAATCACTTGACACTGCATATATTCAGGTTGCACTCCCCTGGAAATAAATAATTTAATGCTACCTATTCTATAAATATCCTTATTGCAAGTCACTCAGTAACCATAATGGTAAGCTGCTTTAATTGAAGAAGAGGTCTGTATTATAATGTCTCTTAATAGATTCCCTTAACAGCTATAACAGACTGCTTAAGTAAGGTATTGTCTCTCTACAGAGTAAAATAATTTTAAATAAAGATTACTTTTAAGTGCATTTCCTTTAAATGATTATAGAGCCAGATCAATCACTGTGGTCATGCCCATTGGCACGGCTCCAGAAGGCAGTGTTGCTACTTTCTCTTTAGTGGGTAATAGGGTGCTAAAGACACTCTCTCTTTATCCTGTTACCAAGTCCAAATTAATTTGAAGACTCTGAAGAATGAAAGCTGCTTGGCACTGTCTCCAAGTGGTCAATCTTCTGTACACTGCACTTACAGAAATAAACTCCTTTCCTCACTCAAAAGACAGACTGCTCACAAACACCACCTCAACCAGAATTAACTGAAAAAAAGAGGAGGTGCCATTGCCCACTAAAGAGCCGCTCCTAAAACAGGATGTCAAACATGAGGTATGGCTTACAGGGAATTAACACATAGCAGCAGATATACTTTTCAAATCACATTCTTCCTTATTGTCTACCTGAAATTTGTGGATGCAGTTAAGAAATTAGTTAATTAATCTCCATGGGAATTCCTGATGCAGTGTTTGAATGTGTTCTAAAATCTGAAAAATATAGGAAGATAACTAAAGGGTAGTGACACTATGAATGAAAGGAACAAACTATTTGGACACTATCCCTCAACGCTTAAGAGCCAAGAAAATAATGAGGTTTGCGTTAAGGGTAGAACAAAAATCTGTAACTCTCCTACCAGTAAACAGCAGAACTTAAAGTAAATGTCAACTGAAACACAGATGGTCTCTCCCTCAAAAACAGATTTTGCTGTCATGCGGTTTGTTCAGACATCATGACTGGTTAATCTAGTTACTAGTGTATACTTCATGAACTTCATCTTTGCTACTACTTGAATGTCTTAATTTCTACAATTTTAAATTCACACTACACCGCAAGTTTCTATAGCTGTATATCAATTCAACGTCCATTTATTTTTAATTTAATAATAGTTTTTTTCCTTTCATATTATCACAATCAAGTGAGATCCTATATTGCCTGTACAGTTCTATATTTGCACCGCATTCTCAAAATCAGTCAACAGGCAGAATTTTACAACTAGAGGGTGCTGGAGGACCATAATGTAAGATGGCATGCAAAACTCTCGATGACCTTTAGTGGAAAGAAGAAAAATAAAATAAATCAATTATTACTGCGCAGTAGGACAAGATAATATATTCCAAGGTAATATAAATACTGCAATATTATCCAGTGTAAGTAAAAAGAAAATTAATACTTTATAGCTGATACTGGTTCATTTTAAATTTAGTTTCAAATTTGCTGTTAAACTTTGCTTCTGGCCTTAGTTTTTGTGCTATAATGCTATAATGAACAAAAAAACCTTTATCTGAACAATATGCATTCCTTTTTCCTCCCTTTGTGTGAGTTGGAAAGCAATTACAGTGTATTATTGATTAAATGTTTTATGATAAAACACAAAAGCCATCAAGTAAGCAGGAAAGCAAGAAGGAACAAAGATTAATTTAACAATAAAATCTATAATTGAGATTTTACAGATAGAATGTGGACACTAATTACAGATAAATCATTTAATAAGAGTTCCAACAAGAAAATTATCTTCCAAAAATCATATAATTTCCAACATAGGGTAATTATTTTCTTGCCTTCCAGTACTGTAAGAAAAAATACAAGTATGAGAATAAATAATGTGTATAAATATAGCACTCTGTACATATAAAAGTTCCCTCTCCCTTCCTTCCTCTCCTATACTTTTCCTTATTGATTCTCTGACGATTCTGCAATTACCTTCAACCAAAAGAATTATTAAAATTTTAAATCAGACCTTTGAGATACCCTTTTCCTCAGCCCCAGTTCAAGACAGCTCAGTAACAGCTGGGATTTTTCTTCCATTTCCTTGGATCAGAAAGAATTCCAAAGGACAAACTGTGGCCAGCTGGTAGAGTGGTTCCCTGAAACCCTCATGAGAAAGTGTCCAGGAAGCTGGTGACAAAGATGTGACCATACTCTGAGAAGCAGATCCCTTCAACCCAAACACGAAAAGCTGCAACCAGCCTGTGGATCACAGAGTGACAGTGGCTAGAAGAGGCCCTGGGCATGTGCAGGGCTGCCAGATGTCCAAACGAGGTTGGTGTGGCATGCCATTGCTCTTCTTCCCACTTTTGACCTTTTGGTTGTGCAGGCTCACGGCACGTGGACAACATTCTCATGGTGGGCAACACCCAAGTTATGCAACAGTCCAACTGTGGTGGCCTGCATTGGCTCAACACATCCTGGACGTGCCAGAAATGTAGTACAAGTGAGATTGTTTCTGTTTCCACACTATGGAAGGTCTCATGCCCATGAGGTGCCAGTAACTCATATTTCCTCTTATGACTTGCGAAGTTAGTGAGAACTGCCTTATTTTCATATTGTAACTAGTAACATGTGCACATGTTGTAACTGGCTGTGGTGCCCCAGCTTTACAAGCAGAGACATATTTCTCTTTGCACAGTCTCATGGGCCGAGGCCAAGTCCCCATGTGTTCTGAGAGAACACACGCTACTCAGATGCCTACATACATGCAGCTTCCTTTAGGCTGCATTTTGTCTCATGACTTGCCCTTACAACGGATGTACCCTGGCATCCACAGGAGGCTCATGACATATTTAAGAGTCTTAGCCCCTTAGACCTTTGGTAATGCTTTCACTCCTACTGGTGGCTACGTGTTAGCTAGCACACAAAAAAAACGGTATAATTAATGGTGAAAATGGGATTTCATTTTTGACAACTGGTTTGTTTAAAATGAAAGCTTTCAAGGGGATAAACAAAACAAGTCAAGTAAGATGTGTCCGATGCAACAACAACAAAAAAATGTGACTTACACACTTGCCAGATGCTACAGAATGACAAACTAATGTAAATGTAATGTAAAAATGCATAACAAACCTGATACTGAACTGCATTTTGTGATTCCTCTCTAAAACTCCTGATACCTTTAGTCTAGAAAGTGGCTTGTTTGCTTTTGACATATTGTATCTAGTTTGTGCCTAAAGAAACAGCAGTCAGTATCTGGCCCAATGTTTTATTGTCAGCATATTCTCACGCACTTAAGTGTGCCTGCTTCATGAACACAATTGTTGGGTTGTTTTTTCCTGAATGAGCTGATTTTACAAAATTAGTAGTTCTCTGATCTTTATTTTTCCACATAGACAAGATCTGCTTATTTGATGCTGCCTTTACTTACAGAGTCTAAATAATATGAATTACATCTTAGCTTTTTCTTCAACAGTGCCATCTAAAATTATACAAGAACAAGATGTTTGGTGGGTGGTTTTTTCCCCCTCTGGAAGTCAGCAGAAAAGCTGTTAAATACTACATATACTAGAATACTGATTTTAATAATACTCAACGTGCACATCGGTTTCATTATCAGAAACACTTTAAATTTCTGTACGTTACTAATAACGGAAGAGCGTTATTCAGCTTTATAATGTAGTATGCATTGTCCTTCATACATATTCCTAAAGCAGGATGTGTGCTGTACATTTATATACAACGTTGGTCGGAGCACAGACATTGCAGTGTCATGCTTTCATTCAAATTTCAGATGCCATATGTTCAGTACAATCGCACGGCATCAAGATGCAACATATTGCTTTGCAAATGCAAATAATTTCACACAGTGGCCTTCATGACTGGGAAGGGATAATGAAATGGGTCATATTTTATACATATGAAAAAAATAAATAAAAGATTTATCATAAATATATGGACCAGTATATGACATTGAAGAACAAGAAGCAAAAAGGGAACAGTGCTCTTGCGTAAAGATCGATTCTCTTTGCTGCTGATGGAATGACAGGCTTGGGAGGAGGAGGCTTCTTGTTGTTCTTGGCTTGAGATTTCCCGAGCCCATTGTTGACTTCAATGGGTTTCCCATAACAGTCATAGTTTGATAATTCAAAATCTCTTGGCAAGCTTCCAACGATGCTGAAATCATTGGATCTCAGATCAGATTTCGAAGTGCAAACTTTTTTGCATCTGGTCTCACCAACCTATGAAATAAAGAGTGAGTGGAATCATGATGTACTCACCACATTCCATTAACAAACTTAATGCAGCTGCTAGAGAACACTGCAAACAAACATACAGGAAATTACTTGTTGATAGGGATACATTACATCAGCCTAATTTGTGGAATGGTTACGTTATAAAGTACTTAAGGATGATCAGTCAATCATATAAACTAATCCAAACATTCATAATTGTGTAATTTTTCATGCACAAGGTGCCTCACGCTGTGCAATCTGCTATAGTTAGACTCCTTCATCTTAGGACGATAGAAGGGGAGGGAATATTTCTGTGGGGAGGATTTTTGGATATTGGTTCTGTGCTGATGAACCTGCAGGACAGATACTATTCAATAGCTGCATTTTTCTGAGGTCTGGAAACCATAGTCAGAACTAACCCTAAAATTCAATGTTTGCAAATAAATGCAGTCTTTTCTCGTTCTAAATAGTTGCCAGCTAAAAAATAAAATAATATTTATTTGGTGCCCTTCAAACTCATGTGGGGTTTTTTGTGGGGAAAAAAAAAGATCCTATATTCCCTTCCTTGGATTTTATAAAGCTTTTATTTCAGGTTCAACACATTTCTAGGAGACCAATCCCACACTGTTCAGGGAGCTTGAAATGATTTAAAGACTACTTGCAAGACACTGTGTTTTGTGACTTGGGTAAACCTCTCCCAAAGTTTCATTTCTATTAGTCTACTCAGTAAAGAAGGGAAAAAAAGAAAAAAGAATACAAACTATGAATTTGTTCACATATATAACCTGGCAGTTAGTTGAAAAAATGCTGGTTCACAAATTAGGCTATACACAGACACATACACTGGCATAAACACAAGTTTGACTAAGGCTTCCTGGAGCCACTGGTCCACTAAAAATTGGTTCTTCCAAATGCTGCCTTTCCATTAGTCTGTCTCTCCTCCACAGAGCCTTCACGTATTTTAAGCTCAGCTGTCTCCACCTTCTGTTTTCTGCCATCTTTGGCTAAAGTTTGGGATATTTACATGATTATATTTTTGTAAAATAATAATAGTGAAATACACTATCAGACTTGTGGATGAATGAAAAACATTCTGAAGAATATAATGAGCTTCTCTATGACAAATGACAAAGTATTCTGCACGGAAAGAACTGAGGTAGAGAGGAAGAGACCTAAACTTTGACTGGGGTTTTCGCTCTTGTTATTGACAATGCTGATTCTAGTGCAAGGTGTAAGAGAAGCATGGCACTGTTCCCTCTGCAAACAGTAGACACACCTCCCCAGATTTGCCAGAGTGATAATTTTCAGGAAAACAGTAGATTTTGAAACTGATGCACGAAAACTGAGGTGCAAGTTTGTCCTGATCACAGCCAGGACAGGGTTAATTTTTTGCAGTATCTGGGAGGGGGCATAGCTAGGGCACAGATGTTATTCTATACCACTTCACATCATTGCTGGGGGTGGGTAAAGGGATCCTCTTCTTGGAAGAAGAGGTTCCTTCTGGTGGACAAAACATGGCAGAGAGAGTTGCAGTATTGTCTACTGGGGAAGTTGTCCATGTGAATAATTTCTTTTCTTATACCTTTTGTTACTAATGTTGTTGCTGTTACTGTTTGTTTTCTTATCTCATTGCTGTATTGTCTTTTGTGCCTCCAATTGGAGGGGGGAGGAGGAGTGGTGCATGGTTTTAGTGGGAGTACTAAGTTGAAGAATACCATTCCTAAACCTCAGCAAGGTTACACACAAAATCAAGATTCCAGGTCACAAAAAAGAAAAACAAGATAGGTATTCTCTGACAGTAAGGCAAAACTATACATACAGATTTTCTGCAACTGTTTCCCAGTCATCAAAGAGCTGATAGCCTGGAACAGTGTTCATTATTGGAGTAGCAGGGGCAAACTGTCTATTAAGGTGGTCACTAACACAGAGGTAAACATGATTATGTGGCCCTGGGTGACAGGATGCTGTTAGTCACTGATTCAGGATGTTCCTTCCAATCAGATCATAACCAATGATATAGGTAATAAACATGCAAAGCAGACCCTTGTGCAATGAAAAGGGAACTTGCAGGATCGCAGTGCATGTTAACTGAAGAGTCACAGGAATATTACATTTTTTCCATGGTCAAAACTAGTAAGATTTAGTAAGACCACTACAAGAAATAGAATCATGTATGAAATTATAAGCCTCCTTTTGGATTTGCAAACTTGTAGTCCATTCCTTATACTACCAGCAATAAATTGTAAAACTCAGTGACACTAATTGTAGTCTAAGTGCTCTCATTTACAACACAGAATATTCCTGTTCCAACTGCAGTATCTAGAGAGTGCTCCCCTAAAGGCTGTTACAAGTCAGCTCTCATTCACTTGCGGGACTGAGAGAATGGATTCTAGGTCACCTCTGCCTTATAAGCAGAGAAGTGTTCACAGCATGTTCACACAGAGCTCTGCTTAGTTCACTGTCAACTGGAGAACTCATTTATCAGGGTGACACAATTTCCTGTGTAAGAGCAGCCTGGCCCAAATTTTTCTTTATTAAGTATATATTACTTTTGAAAATAATTTCATTCATTTCCCTGGGTTTACAAATCTGACATGCTTCCATTTTCTAGACTGAGCTACTGCCTAGCCATACTTTTAAATTTCTTCTCATACATCTCTTCGACTCTCCAGTATTTCTGTTGTTTTAATCTAAATTTGCTGCAGCTGACCTACAGCTTTCCCTGAACAAAGTGAGTTAGTATATATTAAGTATATATAATATATATATTTATCTGTCTTTTATTCATTTTGTCTTGGTTTGTGCTAGAAGTCAAATAATAAACCTAACAAGCAGCCTCTGCTGCTTCTGGTGCTCCTCCTCACTTTCCACGTTTACTGCCCAAACACTTAGCAAAGGCTACAGGAACCATTTCTGTGAAAAACGATACTGCAGGACTTGATTATAGAGTACTGCACTGAAGATGCGTAAAGAAAGTAAAACATTGCTAAATGATATATCCTTTTGACTTCATCCTGACACAGAAAATATTTGATATCATTTGCCTTATCCTGCCCATGACCACAGGTTTGATGCTTCCACCAGATTTATGGGTTTTCCGCTGCAGGGTATGGGAAGCAGCTATTTGGGAAGGGAAGGCTGTTGGGATAGTGTAGGGCCACCCCATGTCCCCAGAGGAACTGGGCATCCATTCCTTGTCCCTCTGTCACGGAGGTGGGGGGGTCAACGAGGACACAGGAAGGTGACCTGACTCCTGGGACTTGGCCCAAAACACAGACCTAAGTCCCTATTTCTTCCAGGACTAGGCTGTCTTGTCTTGGTTTGGTATGATGGACAGGGGACCTGTCTTTTGATGAACAGCTCCAAAGTAACTAAAATTGACTCCTAGAATCCAGAAGGGCCTTTGTGATGATCCTTTCTCACCTTTTACAAAATTCAGGCTGAGCAGTGCTCACTGCCAAGCTCAGAACCTGCCACTGCTCCAGAGCTGCAGCGTGTGCTGTGTGCCTCTGCAGTGGGGCCATATGGCTCAGAAAGGCTTTGGCTGCAAAATTAGGGGAATAATGAGAGAAGAAAATGGGGAAAGAGGAGAAAGAATACACACTGCCTGTGCATGCAGACTGGCAAGCAGGGGGAACTAACTCCTATCACTGCCTCTGCTACTTCTGTGTTCCTCCTCACTTTCCACATTTACTGTCCAAACTAGTTACATTAGTTTTTCCTTTAAAAACATCCAGGATAGAGATTTTTTTTCCATGACCTTGTTTCCCACAAACGTATGTACCTTATTTCTAACCTGAATTTATTTGGCTTCAATATTCAGTCACGAGGCTTGACTATAGTTAGTCTATTAACTGCTGGTACTTACAGATGGTAACAAATCTAACCTTCATTTTGCATAATTCAGATGATGAAACCAGGCCAACATATGAAGCCAAATCAAATGATCTTAAGAGTTTCTTACCTTCATATCATTATCTCTGAAAACCTAATTGATAATACTTTAAAAAATTATATTCAGTTTGATTAAACCAATAAACACACATATCAGCTTTACTTTCACTGACCCATTTAAATTTATTAGCTAACATGGGGCTGAATTATGAATAATATTAAAGATAATTAATACTTACAAATAATAACTATTAGTCAGCACCCTGTATGCTATGCAATATTATCCACTGATTGATGTCAGACTTATAATTATTCATGTTATGCCATTTAGCCTTTAAAAGTACTGGCACAAACTTAGCTTCTTGCTGTATTTTGGAATCCTCCCAGTTTTAAGGGATTTATTAAAAAATCAACTTTAATGTTCCACAGTACTCATAGACCAGCTCTTTAGAAAATCCTAGATGCAACTTAAGCTGAAGTCTCGACTGTAAAACGTCTAACTTTAGTAGCTATTGTTAAACATTCTCTTTAGCTACTGTGAATGAGAGCTACTTCATTATTGGATTGAACATATCTGGCTTTTCCACAAACATAAAGCAGAATATTTGTTCAACACTTTTCCCTTTTCAGTTAATTCTTGATACTTATAGCTTCTCTACCTATTATAGGACCATTACTCTTACTAGGTTGTGTCTTCTTGCTATATATGTAAAGTAACTCCCTACTGCCCTGTTATGCTAAGCATACATCTTTTTCTTACCTACAGCTATTATCTACACTTATTTTCTTGATTTCAACTGACATTAATTGCTATCACCTTCCACTTGCCAGTGAGAAGAAAAGAGACGTGCTTGAAGTTGAGTTAGTTTTAAAAATTTGGCAGTTTGTTTTCAATTGTTATGTTTGTTAGGTCTTGGGTTTTGTTTTTTTTTCAATTAGTATAGCTTCACTTCTGGTCTGTAGCTGTTTTGAACAGTGTTAGATAGTTCACCAGCACAATTCATATTTTTTGATTAAATTCTTCCAGCCAAATGAGAGAGTTATCAAATTTGTGAAATCTGACATTTCACAGCACCAAAAATACCAGGACTTGACTCAATTTGTTGTGTGCA